GCAGCCTCACGGAGCGCAGGGCAGTTAGCAAGTGTAGGACTGACAGGTTGATTGACACAGCAGTCAAATGGGTTGTGATAAATGTAGGCTGATTATATCATTGAGGACAACGTCTTTATTGAATTTTTTTAAAGAAACTCGACATTTTCTACGAGCCACTGTCAACACTAACGACTAAAATCCTATGAAACTCTATGGAGCTAAAAAAATTGGTTCTCCTTATTCATGTTTCTTGACATTTTTTTCATTTTTATAATTCCAAATCTTAGGTTAGTAACTAATGTTAAATGAAAACAAAGACTTCGTCCACATAAAGCGTCACATGATGATGTTTTTGTCCACACCACTTGTCGGAATAATGGAACAAGACATCGTAAACTCCATGACTTTTTGTGATCATACTAATAATGTTGAATTCCGTTTAATCAAATAATCACAATTATTTGTGCTTAATTTTCATCATAATTAATCATGATTAATCTACAGCTACCCAGTGGTTGGTCAGATTAATATATGAAATTGTTTGACAGCCTTGGTTCTCATATTTAGCATCAAAAAGCTTTTATGCTTAAGTGAAACCTTGGTCCTCGTTTGCTAATATAAACTTGCCAAATCAAGCTTATTCTGGATCATTTGCAGTATTAGCAACATTCTTGCGTACATACAGAGAAAACAGAGAAAGTTACACATGGTTGATAAGACAATTCTGAGATGAATTTGGTGAGGAGTGCCAAGCGTCATCCAACCTAGTTAGTAGCTAGAACACTCTCTGTGACCAATGCCACGACAGACAGGTCAAAATATCTGGCTGTATCCGGAAGAAAAACATATTGGATTTCACAGCCAGGTGCGGAAAAAAAAAAATTATGTAGCTGCGTATTAAGTTCCCTAATTAGAATAGGAGTCAGGATAAAATGAACAATATAATTTTTTTGAGTAACGAAATCTAGTATTTGAGACGATGAAGTACTTGGGGAAAAATACAAACTAATGTAATAAACCAAGGGGGGAAATACAATATCTTTCCAACAGATTTTATTAAACCAATAACTTACCACCTGTCTCAGTCTTCTATTACTTCACATGTAGAAACAGTTGGCTGTGTCATAATTCTTTTTTTTTTTTTTTTTAACAATTGTTGTGTTAGTGCCAGTAATTGAGCTTCTCTCACTTGTTGACACCTGATTAGCTGCTGCTCCAGCAGTTATTAGCCTCACCTTGGTTTCCTCACAGCTGAAAGTAATCTGAGCTGGAAGGTTATAAAGTCAGAGTCTTTGCTGCTCACTTGGGTTTGTCTGTCGTTGTGTTCTACCTGTAGGTCGTTCCAGTTGTGGGTTGTGTGGGTTCTCAGTCATCCAGGTCATCTTATCCAGAAAGGTTTCTTGAAGATGTTCCACCTCTCATCCAAGAGGCTTCTTCAGTAACTTCTTCATGAACTGTTTCCAACCTTTCTTTCTTTCTTTCTTTCTTGTCAGCAAACAAATGTTCTCAATTATTAAATCATAGCTCAGCTAGTTGGGATTAGCTTGAAGCAGAGGCAAAAATAGCAGCCAGTGTGAACAAGGGTCACAGCTTCTTCTGAGGGATTTATTTATTTATTTTTTAAAATGTTTTTTTTTTGCACTGATGCTGCAGCCGTCACCACAGCTTTTATCATCCATCATCAGTCAATTCCAGAGGCTTAAGTTCTGTAGATGTTGTCATAGGCTGATGATGTTAAATACTATGTCTAAGTAACAAAACTAAATAAATACAACAATATTACCAGGGCTCTTCAAACTTCCCTCAGATTATGGTCCTATTCTGTGAAGTGAGAGTCGCTGCATGTTGGACCTCACATACTGAACATAAGTAACTATGTGGGAGCCATAATGAAGGGCAAATAGTAAAAGGTAGAGAATGTAGAGCCTCACTAATGGGGTTCATTGTGAAATTTGTTTTAACGTTGCAAACGCCGTACATCAGAATGACGAAACGAGAACTTTCTTAATAAATCTATGGGAGATGGTTACGCAATGACAAAACTGTTCGTCAAAGACGTCGTAAACCGACGGCGAATTACTTCTTGCTTCATCTACTGCAGTGGTTCTCAGTTATTTTC